CACGCTTCTTCATGGCAGCCCATTTGATGTCAAGCCACCCTTCCTCCATCATCGCCTTCAACACCTTCTTGCGGTCGAGCAGCCTCTCCAACATCTGTCTCTTATACACATCTAGATGTGTATAAGAGACAGGAGAGAGAGAGAGAGAGAGGTGGTGGTGGTCACCCACCTTCATGGCTGCCCACCGGTCTCCCGCTGCCGCTTCCTGCCGCTGCTTCGAGCCGCTGTCCTGTGGCTGCCGTACGCCGACGGTTTCCCGCCGTGTCCCTCCCTCCCTCCTTCGTTGGTGTCCCGCTTCTCTGACCTTCGTCGGTGTCCTGTTTCTCCAACCTTCGTCGCCCTCCCCACGCTGCTCCCAGCCTTCATTGCTCGCTTCTTGGTCGTCCCTCACAGTGTCTCTCCCTCCCTCCTTCGTGACGTGAAGATTCAAATGGCGAGGGGGCATGCGACTCCGGGAAAATGGTCCGCCCCCTTCTCCAAAAACTTTTGTGGGGGAAGGGCCTGCCGAATTCGAAATTTCGAATTCGGCAGGCCCTTCCCCCACAATACATTTCGGAGGGGGGGCGCGGCCTGTTTCCCGAGTCGCGCGCCCCGCCCGTCATTTTTGTGGCGGGGGCCCGTTCTCTGAACGAAAACCCTTTTTTTTTTTTTCTTCCCTACCCCTATTTTTTGCTGTGCAGGTTGCCACGGTGCGCTGTGCGGTGCGCGGTGCTACGTGCGCAAACCGGCGGACCGTTGTGCGCCACAACTATGCAATTTACCCTTCTCTGTATCGTTCCATTTTTAACGTATGCCTCGAAGGGCAGATTGTGCCATATTTGTATTGCTTTATTTTATCAACATTCCAGGCAACATGCCCTTTTGTGTTTGTTAGTTTTTTTTCCTGCAACATGACCTTGTTTATTGCTCGTTGTTCCGGACAATTTGCAATGGCAGCTCGAACTGTAATTGTCAGTCTATTTTATCGACTTCTCGGCAACATGACTCAAGCGCATAAGCACACCAGGTCTTTCTGGATGGGACCTGGCTGTAATTCTTGTCAGATACGTCGAAAGTCTTACTGTCTTCTCCCGAACATAACGCACCCTGAAAATGAACAAGGTATGTTTCCGGCTTGATGCAGTCAAAAGGAGTGTGTGTTGTGTTTGGGGGAAGACGGTGGTTTGACTCTGCTGGCATTCAGTGACTGAGTTGCATATGTGTTTTCTTCCAGGGTCGATTCTTGTTGGCGGCTTCCAGCGGCAGAGTCCTCGCGCAGTCCGTCCATGAAGCCAAGGATGTTGCACGGGAGATGGTGCCAAAAGATATCTGGATTCATGGCAATACGCAGAATGTGTGGACATGGAGAAGGCGTGAGCTGTGGGTTATGCTTGAGAAGGTGCAAGCTCATGTGGCACCCACAGATGTTGATCCAATGGCAGGCATTCAATGGTTGCCCAAGGCGCGGAAGGGTCATCGCGCCAAGTCAGCTGGACTTCTCCTGGAGCGGGTATTTGAGCCTTGCACGATGTATTTCAAATACACCAAGCATAAAGGCATGTGGCATGCGTTGGGAATGACAGACGGCAAGGTGAGGAGAAGAAAATGGTTCTGCAGATGTTCCGTTTCCTGAACACTCGTGCACACACACACACACACAGAGGGAGAGTGGGGAGAGAGAGAGAGAGAGAGAGAGAGAGAGAGAGAGAGAGAGAGAGGAAGGATACACAGAGAGAGAGAGAGAGAGGAAGGATACACTGTTCAGGTTGGCGTGTTATGTACTCTTCATGTGCCTGAAGGCATGATCGGGGAGAAGAAGGAGCCCGTGGGGGCGTTCTTCTCACAACCACACATCCCTTTGGAGGTGCAGTGTGACCTTCTTAAAGAAGAGTGGAAAATGAGGAGAGCCTGAGAGATGCAATCTTTCAATTTCAGCCCAACGACAGGTTGCGTGAGTGCTGTGAAGCTTATGCTCTTCTCTTCGTTAATCCGCATGCCTGTGGGGTTGCTTTCAGAAAACGCAAGTCATGTTTTTTGTCATACAATCAATCAACTACAGCGGAGGGAAACTGGGAGGGGATCAAACTGTGAAGATTCCCTCTCTGTGTATAGAGTGGTGCCGAAGATGTGGATGAGGGAGGATGAAGAAGAAAATGAAGAAGTAGAAACTTTATGGAAGAGTGGTCTCCTCCTCCTGTCTGGTCCATAACCCCTTGCAAACTTGGATTGAAGGATAGAAGAATTGCACTTGCTCTCGCTTTTGCACCCCCTGCCCAACCCCCCAACCCTCCCCCGCCCCAGGCCTCTCTCCCCCGTTCCTGTGTCTATCCCGTCTCAAGTATACTGATCGAAGGCGAAGGTTGCTGCCTATGCTTGAAACAGGACATAGTGGCAGTGGCGCCTGAGCAGGCAACCATGGAGGATGGACTCCAGAGCCCGGCTGCCCACCCTTACCGTCTTAACCCGAATACAATGTATGGTCATTATAGCCGTATTTGAGGCAAGTTCGAATCTAGATCTAACAATAACGACCGTAGGGCGTACATTGTATTCAGGGGAAGATGGCACTAGCCGTTCATTACTGTTGGAATATGTTCGAAACCCTCCATGTAGCTCCCCAGTGCCATCCACTACGCATTCCGGCAACAGGACGTAGCAACACCAAAGGTCATTGCCTATGCCTGCAACAGGACATAGTGGCAGTGGCATCTCAGCAGTTAGCTACGGAGGATGGAATGCAAAAAACACGGCTGCCCTTGTTGTTTATCTAGTAGCAGTTAATTGTTGTTGACATATGTGGAAAAAACCTCCCATGTAGCTCGCTAGTGCCACCTGCTATGCATTCCTGGTCTGTGATCGTGGATAGCTATGGCAGCCGTCTGTCTCCTTAACTCCATTCTCTGCGAGTCCGTTGGCTCCATCTGATGCTCCTGCATGGTGCAAAAGTACGATGTCGCTCTCAACGTGTGTACCTGACTCTGCTGGACAAATTTTGTGGCAGTAATGTTGAAGGGACTCTTGATGTCAGCTGCTCTTGATGGCATCTGCTGCAGCTCCGAGACTTTACATCACCCCTCTTCCCGGCTCATCCCCCCAAAACTCCCTACTTACAGTCTGTGGCAACTCCCCGTGTGTCTGGCGTCCTCCTTTTGGCGTCATATTCAGGACTCTGATCGCTCCTATCTTCTTCGAGTCCCTCGGCGAGTCACAAGCACTCGTGAAATGCAAAAATTGACGAGTGTATCCTTCCGCTAAGACTTCCATCTTCACCCGAATAAAACACCCGGCATGGTTGTGTACCCTGGCGGTCGGCGGCCCTTGACTGGTCGGATGCCGACCAGCCGGATGGTTGCCTGGTCGGCAACTACCGGTCGGGGGTCATCAATTTTTTTTTTTTGTTTGGGTTCGGAACCCCTAATAACCCCACCAACACCCCCATACCCGCCCCCAATACCCCCATACACCACCCCAACACCCTCATACCCCCCCTCCCCATACCCCCCTCCCCATACCCCCTTTCCCACCCCTATATCGCCCTATACCCCCCCTATACAACCCCCCTATACCCCCCCTCATCCCCAAAAGTCTCTCAGTGGGTTTGGGCTGTACTCAGCAAGCGCAGTACAGCCCCCAACTCATATTTGAAAAAAAAAGTGAATGGTTGTTTTCTGACCGGTCGGCAGACCGCCGACCAGTCGGCCCTACTGGTCGGCTGCAATACGGTTGGCGGTCGAGGTAGGCGGTCGGCGGGTATGCAACCCTGACACCTGGTCGTTATCGCTGCATCTGGGCGGAAAGTTGCCCCAAATACGGCCATAATGACCAGGCATTTTATTCGGGTGAAGACGATAGAGAAATTGGTGAGTGCACTCGGGGAGTCAGGATGCACTTGGCATTTTTCACCTTTGACGTCTGTTGATAACTTTGTATTCATGATTGTCTGCTTAGGCATCGTCCTTTTTGGCACCACCTTCATGGCTTCGGTCAATTTCCTTCAAACCCCATCCGTTTTCCTCCGAACCCCCATATACTCCTCTAGGTTGGATTTTGTGGCAACAGTGAAGGTGTAGTAATCTCAATGGTTGTGCGCTTGACATGCTCAGGTGAACAAGCCGAAGACTTTCTTGTTCAATTCCCCGGGAATTTGTGCGAAGATGACTTCACGGCAGTTCAGCATTTTGATCGACATCATCAGTAACTTGTTGCTTGCCGAATTGCCGGAGTAAGTACCTTCCCTCCTCGACGTGTTTGCTGATGCTGTTGCGAATCCAACAGCTTGACGGAGAATGGATCAACTGTGCGTGTTGTAGTTTCAGCATCTAGTTCATCCAGTTTCAAATGTGCACTTCCCACCCGAAAACCAATCAAGAACCAGTAGGGGTCACATCTCTTTTTGGAGTTGGAGGACTGGAATGTGCTGAGAAGGTTCATATCTTCTTTTCTTCTCGAATACTGACTTGGAAAGCAGGTCGCACCTCACAAGGCTTGCTGAGCTCAAGGGCACTGGGAAACCGGGGTCAGTTTTTTTGGGGAGGTTCGACTGGAGAGCGGCTGCGCCTGTGAGGTGAACCAAAAATCGCTGGCCGTGCAAATGGTCGCATGGCCAAAACATGCGAGTCTCTACTGCACCACACAGCGTTGGGAGCCTCAACCAGTGGCCTGGTAAAAAAAAAAACATTTTGGGCTTGCGGCACCATGTGAGAAGAGAGAGAGAGAGAGAGAGAGAGAGAGAGAGAGAGAGAGAGAGAGAGAGAGAGAGAGAGAGAGAGAGAGAGAGAGAGAGAGAGAGAAAGGTGCTCTCTGCTGTTCCCATTGGTTGCAGTGGACCTCGACTTATCTCTCTCCTGATGTGACTCTCTTTTGATGTCTCCTTGTTCTATTGTTATAGCTCACACAAGCAGTTACCTTCCAAGGCTTGCAAGCCTGCAAGTGCACCTTTTCAAAGCGGCCTGCGGCTTTAGGTACCGCCCGAGGCCGAAAGCAAAAGTTCTTCCTGCATATACCGGGGCAAAAAAAAAAAAAGGAGCTGTACTCTGCTTCGGGTGAACAAGCAGTACTCTGCTTCGTGTGAACTGGCAGTTTAAATGTGATGCTGAAGTGAATCAGCTGTGCCGTCTGCTGATGGAGATTCATGCCCACTTGGAACAGCTCTGGCGCCTAACCCTCTTTTCAGATTTTTAGCTCAGATGCCTCTGCTCCAACAAATGTGTAGGCTGTTTTGCTTATGAGCCCACTCTGCAAGAGCCTCTTCCATAGAAAATGGTAACACAAGTACCCGATTGCAATGGCTCAGAGAGAACAGAGTCTGTTGTTTTCATACTTGGCTGAGATGTGTTCATTGTATCTAGTAAATCTCAAAATTGAGAAAATGAAATCCTGCGACAATTTTTATCTTCATGTCATGAACTTTTGACCTTTGTACAGGCAATCAATATTCATTTTCTTACAGAAAAACACACTCGTGGCTCATAACCGCCAGTATAGAGAGGCCAATGCGTGGCCTATAACTGCCAGTATAAAGAGGCCAATGCATGGATCATAACTGCCATGATTGACAGTTGTTCTTACGCGGTCTGGAATAAAGAGGCCAATGCGTACATTGCGTAGTCAGCCAATATAATAAATGCATGGCGGTTATGAGCCACGCGTGTGTTTTTCTGTTCATAGAGATCATGAACCTGACTGGTACATGTGAAATGCATGACAACTACTGCCCTCCACCCATCCCCCCTCCCCCCCCCCCCCCCCCCCCCCCCCATCGTCCCCTTTTCCCCTGCCCCAGATGCCAGTAACTTTGTTTGTGGCCTGAATAATTCATCTGTATCTTAGCATCTTGGCTTGGAGAAGCAAGTGGAGCTGTTCTTTTCTTTTTTTTTTTTTGAAGGGCGACGCCCTTTAGATATAATTTGTCGAACTGATTGGCCGTAGGTAGTTGAGAAGTACGTTATTTTGTTAAACTGAGTGCACTTGGACTCAAAACTTGGGTCTGTATTTCAACAGTTCATGGGTGTACCAACGGAGCTAGGCCCATTCATGTACCAGTGGAGCTCTCTCTCAACATAGGTGAATACAAATGTTTTTCTCCTCAGCACATTTCCAGTCCTCTGCGAGGACTGAGCCGTCAATGGGGCCCTATAACAGACATGCAAGTGTTCTCGGCTGTGGGCCCCAGCAAGCCTTGTGCCCGCCCTAAGTGAAGGCGGGCCTGAATATCCACAAGAGGCCTATTTTCCTAGGCTGGGCCGCCGCCCGGCCGGGCGGGCCCCGGCCGGTTGGGCCCGGGGGGGTCCGCCCGGCGAAACCGGGCGACGCAAAAACACAGCAAGGATTTTTTTTATTTTTTTTTTGAAGGCGGGGTTGTGCTGCGCTACCCTATAGGACCCCGAATCTGCAATAAAAAAAGTGAACTTCGGGGGGTGTGTGGGTGGGGGATGTCAGTGCTGGTATGTCACAGACCTTGCAGGTGTGTATGTGGAAGAAGAAGAAGAAGAGGAGGAGGAGGAGGAGGAGGAGGAAGAGGAAGGAGGAGAAGAAGAAAGCACGTCCACATACACACGCGAAGGAGGAAGAGAAGAGCAAGGAGGAGGAGGAGGAGAAGAGGAAGAAGAAGAAGAAGAAGAAGAAGAAGAAGAAGAAGCGAAGGAGGAGAAGAAGAAGAAGAAGAAGAAGAAGCGAAGGAGGAGAAGAACAAGAAGAAGAAGCGAAGAAGAAGAAGAAGAAGAAGAAGAAGAAGAAGAAGAAGAAGAAGCAAAGGAGGAGGAGAAGAAGAAGAAGAAGAAGAAGAAGAAGAAGAAGAAGAAGAAGAAGAAGAAGATGGGAGGGGGGTGAGAAAGGGTGGGTGAGAAGAAGAAGATGATGAAGGTCGAAGATGGCCGGGGGCTGAGAAAGGGTGGGTGAGAAAGGATGGAGGGCCGGGGGTGAAAAAGATGGGAGTTTAGAGATGGCGGGCAGGAGTCGTGGGGGAAGGTCGTAATCGCGGCCCCACGCGCGCCTGCACAAGACAGGAAAAAAAAAAAACAAAACGGAAATGGCGCTCGGGGATGGCGGGCAGGGGGGGGGCACGAAACGGTGAGCAACAAGAATAGGAACAAGAAGCAGCGAAGGAGGAGGAGGAGAAGAAGACGAGGAAGAGGAAGAGCAAGAAGGAGGAGGAAAAGAAGAAGAAGAAAAAGAAGAAGAAGAAGAAGAAGAAGAAGAAGAAGAAGAAGAAGAAGAAGAAGAAGAAGTGAAGGAGGAGGAGGAGGAGAAGAAGAAGAAGAAGAAGAAGAAGAAGAAGAAGAAGAAGAAGAAGAAGAAGAAGAAGCGAAGGAGGAGGAGGAAAAGAAGAAGAAGAAGAATGAGACGGGTGGAGGATGGCGAAGGAGGAGGAGGACTACTGCACTCTCTCTCTCTCTCTCTCTCTCTCTCTCTCTCTCTACTACTACTACTAACCCACTTACCTTGGCGCGACAGCGCGATGGAAAAGAAGAAGAAGAAGAAGAAGAAGAAGAAGCGAAGGAGGAGGAGAAGAAGAAGAAGAAGAAGCGAAGGAGGAGGAGAAGAAGAAGAAGAAGAAGCGAAGGAGGAGGAGGAGGAGAAGAAGAAGAAGCGAAGGAGGAGGAGGAGAAGAAGAAGAAGAACGAGACGGGTGGAGGATGGCGAAGGAGGACTACT